TGTCTCGGCTTCCTCTGCGTCTTGTTTGCTTCACGCTCCTCAGCCACGCGTTGGTTTCAGCTCGGCAGGGCGGTGGGGGGGGGCACGGTGCGATCGGCAGGCTTCGGAGGGCAGCACGAGGCCTCCAGCCGTGTTATTTCCATTAATTCCTGTTCGTTACCCTTGAGGCTGAAGTGATGACGTGCTTGGAGATACTTAAACCTCGCTCTGAGAGCAGACCAGTACAGAAAACGTATCTTAACTGCAGTCAAAACAGCAGGGCGAGGAATGATCCCAAAGAAAACGTCTCTGGGTTGGCACCCAGGGAAAACCCTGCCCGCGGCAGCCGGCAGAGGGAATCCCTGCCCGCTCCCTCACGCTGCGGGCTGGGAGCTGCCGGGAGCTGCTGCCGCTTTTGTTTGCCCTTAGCAGCCAGGATCAACTGCACCTCTCGCCGTGTCCCCTCTCCGCCGTTTCCTTGCCAGAGTTCCTGACATCCCTCAGCCCGCCCTTCCACGGCAGTTTCACCGAGTTGGCAGCTTGTGGCGGCCCCAGCCTCCTCTGCAGAACTCGGAGAGCGACGGGGGACTGAACCGGTGGGAAAAGCCGTGTAAAAACAGTGAACGGTTTTCTGCTTTAGCTACCAGAACCAGCTGAGACAGTTATCACCACAAGAGAGAGAATTAGAATGGATGATCGGGAGGAGGATAGGATGGTAGCTGCACCACCTCTGAGTGGCTTAGTCATTTGTAGTAAATTTACACAATATACCTTCATGAAAGCACCAAAATGGAGAATATCACATCTTATGCTTCCCTCTGCTGCTCTACGCCTGGCATTCCAACAGGCCTTGTACTGAGCCAGTTCAACTCCCCAGCTCAATTTTAAACCTTTTTAGAAGAAAAAGAGTAGTAGAAAAGAAAACAAAAAATAATTAGAAAAATACAGATCAGATAAATTATGGCTCTGGCTGTGCTGCAAATTTAAGCACTTTAATTGAAACTTTGCATGCTTACAGGCTTATTTGAATAAAGAAAGGAGATAACAAAGGCACCAGCATGATGTTACCCTGAAGATATTATTGCTGTGATAGTTGAGATGATGGGTGGCTCACATCAGTATCGACTTACAGAAGTCCTTTAGCAGAGGAAAGGATGTCAAGCACTAATGGTACAATTCATATGGCTAGACAGAAGGACAAATGGAAAGGAAACTAGTAAATCCCATTGCTTAGAGTTCCAGAGAGTTCAGTTTCTACTAGACAAGGTAGACACATGAGGTTCTGTAAAAGCTAGATGATCTGTACCCCTTTCAGGTATCAGGGTACTCTTCCTGCTTGCATGTTCCCCTGCTCTCCTACAATTACTTTTCTATTTTTATCTTGTTTGTGGGGGTTTTTTTAATCCCTTCATGCAGATGTAGTACAAGGAACTCCTACAACAGATAAGGAGAAAAACAAACACTCTTGGATAAGTTGCTTAACATAAGACAAATGTGCAACTCAAGAAAATAATGCAAGTTGATAAATAGTGCTCCCAAGCCCCCAGAGTAGGAGAGAGACAAGAGGGGCATTTGGAAGTTTCTGCTCACACCATTTTTGAGACATTACTGAAAGAATCTGGGTTATCCAGAGCAGAAATGTAAGAAAAAATGTGTTAATAAGTGGGATTTGGAATTGTGTGTCATTGGGGTTTGGGTTTTGTTTTGTTTGGGGTTTTTTTTGAGGTTTTTTTTTTGTGGTTTTATTTGGTTGTTGGGTTTTTTTTGGTTTTTTGGTGTTTGTTTTGTTTTGGTGGTTTTTTATGTTTTCTAATATCTTCGCTAATATAGCATGCACTTTCACTCATCACCTCATGTAAAACAAGCTTAGTTAAAGCTGACACATTCTGGTTATAGTGTTTCCCCAAAGATAAATCTGCAGTTAGGCCCCTCCAGGAAACCTGCATGCACAAGTGTGTTGAGGGCAAAGTTGGCAATGCCTCTTTTTCAAGCTGAAAGGGCATTAGGATAGTAGGAGGGCCAGGTATGCCATAGAGATACTTACCTAGTACCCACAATACCCTAGAGCTCCAAGCAGCCTGCAGAATCACCCAGTGATGCAGTCAAACAGGTTTTTAATCTTTGCTTATCAGTCAGCCTTGGCAGTTTGTCAGAAAGGCAATAATAGGATATTTGAAAAATAATATCTGTTGTCTCTTTGTACTGGGGTAAGGAGAGAAGGCAGCAGAAAATTTAAAAAGCGTCAGCCTTTTGTGCAGTTGTAAAGTAGACTCAGAACAGGAGCTAGACTGCACAGGAAAAGGAACAGTTAAGGGTAGGAAAAGTTTTGCTTGGAGGAGCTGACCACAGTGGAAGACAGACTTGTATTCAATGGGAGGACACTCAGAAGACAAGAACCAGCCAAACCCAGAGCTCAAATGAACATATGTTTGCAGCTTATGTTAACCAGAATGAAGACTGAGGCAGAGGCTAGAGAGTGTAAAACTAAGTGAGCTTGTGTAAGGCTTGCCTAGATCATCAGAAAAAAGCATTAAGTCAACTCAGCCCTTCAATAAATGGTTTCTATACTAAAATCTGCAACAAAGCATAGATAATGGAGGTCGCAGGGGAGTGGGCTCAAAGTCACCAGCTTAGCTTTCATAAGCAAGATGAGCTTAACACCCCAGTTGGTCTATTGGGTCAAATTTCCATAAAACTACAAAGAGGCAATGCAAGCACTATTCCCCCACTCTGCTCAGGTAGTTACAAGGCTTACCCAGGCCTGTATCTCAGGCGGACAGTGGATATACTATGTAACCAAATACTGTATAACCCATTCTAAGAAACTTAGCTAGTTATTAAGTACTTTAAAGCAAGATTAAGTACTTTAAAGCAAGATTTAGCAAATGACTCACAAAAAGTTAATGAAACTTCAGGCTTAAATCTAGGTTTGTCTCAGTTCTCTGATTGTTAAAGAAAGTTAGCCACAAAGATCTTCTGAAAATAACCTAGCAGGTTGTTTATTTTATTGTTTCTTTTTATTAAAATGAGGAGCAGCATAGCAGGGGCTGCATGTATAGTGATGCACAGGAAATTATAATAGAGATGCATTCAGTGGAAGATTTGGATGAAGGATGGTAAATAAGCCCTGGTGAGGTTCTCTGAACCCAGCAGAGGAGGTAGGAAGCCTGTGGGAAAAGAAAAGTTAGTGATCACATTGTTACTTTATGTTTAAAGAGCTGTGGTAAGCCCACAAGGAAAAATCTGCCTTAGGCTTTTCCTAATGTTACAGTACTTTGCTCAAATAATTTTCTGATTTAAGACTTTGCAGATAATTATTAAATTAAATGGCAATACCGTATACATTGTTATAGATACAGGATAAGCATGCAGTAAAGCACAGCACGTGCCACAGGACTTGACTGCACGGTTTACTGAAGGCAACACTGCACTCACACAGGCTTATCCAGCTGATCCAGGTAAGATATTTACACATCCCTTGGGCATAATCATCCACTCAAACTCCTAAGTTGAGCAGATTGTTGGAGAAAGTATACATCTGTACTAAAGCCAGAGGCTAAGCTTTAACTCCTGATCCTGAAATCAGAAACTGATTAAAACATCAATATAGAGAACCAAAGATTAGTGCTGATCTGCATTATTTGGAAAATAAAGTTAGAAAAAAAATTAGGGCAGAAAACAGGAAAATTAAGAATAGAGGACAAAAAAGAGGAAATAGCCCTGTTACATGTTATTTTCTTTTAGTTCCTTTTAGAATGCAATCCTCAGCAGGCAGAATATGCAACCTGCCAGTCTGCATGTGGTGTAAGGATGCAATTCCTCTTGCAGCCCAGCTGGGTTCTGTAGCCTGTGACTTTAGACGTCAGCACTGATATTTCATTATAATCTTCAGCTGGAGGTGGAGAAGCCTGGAAAAACTGGCTACTACTGCATGTACTTTGTTTCTGGCATCTAAGACACCACTACTTTCAAAACTTGCAAGATGTGAAGGCACTCATCTCTAGGTCTGTCATGGGACAATCCTGCTGTGTTTTTCTGCTTCTCAGCATTTCCAGTGGAAGCTCCTTGAGCATGTCATACAGTCCTCCTTCAGCCCTGCTCTCTAGATTAGCTCCTTCAAGTCAGTATTCCTTCCATGTTCTCAGTTTCAGGCTTTTCTGGGAACACAAAAACACTACCCAAAATTGTGTTTTGTATTATGTTGGTATTTTCTGGTACCCTACCCTATCTTTGCTTCTATTTGCCTTTCCAGTTTGTTTCTTTAACAATCCATTTTTCTCTTGTTCCATAACAAAGCACCATATGCAAAACAGTTATGCATATTACTGCTGAAAGGATTAACTACAGACACTGTACTACAGTGAAAACGTTTATCTAGCACAGATCAACTGGGGGAGACTCTAACACCACATTTAGAAGTATGTTTTTGAGTAAAAGAATGAAAATGCAAATAATTATTATGAAAACTCATCTGGAATTGAGTAGTTTTAAACATTTTTATTAGGCTCCTTTTTCTATAATAGTTTTGTGTCTTACCTGCTGTTCTCCTCGGTCCTTCAGTCATACAGGTATGATGGAAAGAAACCAGAATTTTTAGAGAGAACTTATGTGTGTAGTGTGTAGTGTGGGGAGAGAAAGCACAGGAAAGAAAAACAAAAGCCAAAAGACCAGAGTAAGTTTCCACGGGGCTTCTTGCACTCCTGCAAAATGTGATCTGAGTTCGCAGGTCCCTTTTCAGTTTGAGAATTGTTCATTTAGAACTCAGCAGGTCCTGTAATTTCTCCACATCACAGCATACCTGGAAGCAAAGTCAGACTCACACTGCTTTCTGCATCCTCTGGTGATGCTTACTTTATGACACCTCTAACCCTTAGGCACATCAGAATAGCAAAGCATTTTTGTAAGAATGAGGAGGATTGTTCCACAGCAATGTCTTTGTATTTGACAAAGAAAAAGAAAAAAAAAGGGAATCTTACTGAATATTTGCTAGTGTTTTTAATATTGCTGTATCTTAAATTCAGGCATAGAATTTTGTTCTGTCTGCAGCTGAGAATTAAATCTCTCAAACATCTTGTTAAGGACCGTTTCATAAGCATATCTGCCAGTCAGTGTTATTCATTTACAAGCAGCAGCACCCCTCATGCTATGTAACACCTGTCCCAGCAGCCTTCCGTGTTCTCTGCAAAAGCCAAGACACATCAGATGAATACGGCAAACAAAGTGAATTAAAGGGAGGGAGCTGGAACACATGGCACAGGAGGATCTGGAATTGTTCTGCTTGTTCTCAGAAGTGAAGGCTATGTGGGGACATTGGATTGCTACCTTCAGCTATCTAGAGGTTAAAGGGAACTAGACCCTCCTTAGGAACAAAACAAAGGGCAAGATAAAATAGTCACACATAAAGGACAAGATAAAATAGTCACACATTACATCAAAGAAAATTTAAATTTCAAAAATCTCTGTGATCACGGTTAAGCACAGCAAGGGCTGTCTAAGGCAGCTGAAGAATTTCTATCCATGAAGATTTTCAGAGCCAAATGATCCAAACCCTGAGAACCATGACCTACCTAGCTTTGGCATTAGCCCTGCTTTGAGC